GGGGGATTGTGGAAGGTTATAGAGTTTTAATTTGACACGAGTAGTTTAGTAATTTACCAATTTTGTTCTAGAGGTTTACTTTAGAATGGAATATGCATGAAAAGAATTCTTATCATTATAGGTTATAGATGGAAAAAAAACAGCGTATATTGTAGGAAATCAAATAAATTATACATACAAAGCACATAAACAACCGCTCTACTCTTTAGGCTAGAGGTCAGGTATGCTTACATCTTATCCCAATCCTACTTCATAGGACATTCTAGGCATATATGGTTTCGTTATACTATTATACATACAAAGAAAGAAATAGTCAGAAACTTGGCAAATAGAACGGCAGCTTTCGTCTCGGCAATCATATGACTGATGACTTGCAAGTAGAAGAGTAAGTTCTTCAAACGATATCCAATCCTGTTTCAAAGGAGATTGCTCAATGGCAGTCAAACCTACTTCCCAAACCTAAGAGCATCTGCAACAGTTTCTCCAACTTTTTTTTTCCACAGGGAGAATCAAAAGTCAAAATCTACAAAAAGAAAATTACATTCAACTCCAACATCAACTTCATCTTGAAGATTCCAACATTAGTTATATTACTAATATATTCTATACATTTAATGAAAAATTATCTCTACCATAAACATTTAATTTTAGGGAGTTCTCCAAATTTGGAGAATTTGACCATCTCCTAGTTAAAGGGGTTTCAGAGAATCATCTAAAAGAGATGCGGTTGTCAAATGGGGGAAGCGGAACCGAGACGTCCCCAAGCTTTCTGGTTCTCTAGTAGGTGATGAGTGGATTCAGAACAAGGGCTCCTTTCACCTGTTGCCCATCTTGGAGAATCTGGTGGAACAGAAAAGTGACCTAAAATACCCAAAATCTTCACTTTCTCCATTTTGGAGAATCCGTTAGAGATGCTCCAACAATTTTCAAGAAGTTTCTTAAGGCCTTTGAACAACGGCAAAAAGGAATCAGCTTTATTAAACATTTTTGCACTAAATCTTTCACATAGACCTGAAAATGGACTAGGCTAATTGCACCCTTCTAGATTGCTAAATGCATTGCTTTTCTCCTCAAATACATCAACATCAAAACTCATCTTTTTACATTCCCAATGCATGAATCAACCTGATTTTGACATTAAAGTGGTGCAAATAGCAACCCCTGAAAATTTTGAATGAAGGGACACAGAATTCAATCTACACAGATTAATATACGTGCAGTTTTCAGGTATTACACAATGGGTTTCATTCAAGCTGCAAAGAATGTCGATGAATCAAAGCTCGATAGAAAACCTTGAACACAATTGATTGAACGGGATAGTATATATATATATAGAAACCGACTGCGACGAAGACATAACATCTAATTCAATCTAGTAAGAACTCAATAAGCGAATAAAATGTGTAATCTGGATGTATTGAGTGGGGGAAAGACAGACCTTGATCGTTACGGGCAGTGAAAACAATGGTGCCGGTTTCATCACCAATAAGGCACTCAGCTATGTGAGTATGAGCAGCGCCTGAACGGCCACTGAACGACGACGTATTGCGAGATTTCTTGTCTAGTACGGTGGTGGAAGATAACACCTTGACGGCGAGAGTGTTGCCGGTGGTTCCAGGCTTTAGCTCACCAACCTTCAAAAACACCGGCTTCCTCTTCACTACTCCAGTTCCAACCTGCTCTGATTGTTGCTTGTTTATCTCCACCGTTGCCGTCTCTGCCATCGCCGCTGATGGAAATCGAGGTTCAGTTTGTTCCTCTATCAAAAACCCTAACCCTAAATGACCATCATTGTTCCGTTTTGGGGGATTTCAGGTTTGGAGTAATTTACAATTTAGAACCCTTAGGATTTAAAAAGTGACAAATTGGAAGCTTTTATTTTTAAATTTATGCATTTTATACCCTTAAATCAACTTTTATTTTAAAGGTGTTAAAATTTTAATAGGGTTTTATTTGTTATTTATATTATAAATTATAAAAATATTTATATTTACTAGAAAGATACTCGTGCAATACAGCGAGATACATCTCGATTTTAATGTGTGTTTTTTTTTGTCTCGATCGATATTATAATACAATTTTATATAGTATTGAAAAAATGATAATGTTTTTATTTTTTGAATAAAATATAAATTTGAAAAAAAAATGTATCAATTTTATTATCAAATTAAATATTTAAAAGTTCTTGTTTTTTTATGTAATTTTCTTTAATTCAAATTTTTATTATAATTTAATTTAGATTTAATAACAAAGTAATTTATTTTTGGTTTAATAATATAATTTTTTATAAAAATAATAATTAAATATTTTTTTAAAACTCAATAATTATCTTAATTATATTTTAGATTTTCTATAGTTAAAATGGATGTTTATTCTGCATTTGATCATGTTTATCTGTAGCTAGTTACACGAATTTAAAAACGGAGCTTTAATAAGTTGTACTTATGCAAAATTACTTGTAATCCTGAATTTTAAGTAATATGCATCAATAAACAGTACTTCATACATAAAAAATTATTTTTAAGAATTTATGTCAAATGCTTTATAATATAGTATAGATATTATTTTTTTAATTTTAAATTTTAATTTTAAGTTTTAATTAATTAACTAGTTAAAAAACTAAACAACTTTTAAATGATATGAACATGATAACATATTTATTTAAATACAATGCTTGTAATAAAACACGAAAACATAATCCATAAACAAGTTAAAAATACATAATAATCAGTGAAATAGAAGGATGAATAACCAAAATAAGATTACTAATAATCTGATTATCAGGTAAACCAATGATGAATAAGATGTATGACATAACAGTTATATGTATTATTTTACATAAAATGATAATCGAGGATGAACGTGATCCTGATGCATCAATTGAAGTTGTAACAGAAGTGCCACCGAAGGAGGTATAAATAGTGATGGATGATAAGACTCGATTCCAACTGCTATTGCTCGTGACATATCTTCTAAGTCGTCAATACGAGAAGCAAATTGTTGTGTGGAGGAATCAATATTGAGATAACCAGCCAGGCAAGAGAAAGAAGGAAGTCTTCTTACGGATGGGGAAGAAGCGGCCCAGTTTAATAGATTCAGCGGTGGACTTGCTTGACTAGTTTGGACAAACTAAGCTCTATTTCATAGATTGAACTCTTTTACTGTGATTAGCCCCTACTAGTAAGAGATCCACCTTCTTATCTTATATTTCTACATCTAGGATCCGACTTCTATCATGAAATCTGGTGATAAGGCTTGTGATGTTCGATCTAAGATACTCGGAAAGGAAAAAAAAAAGGTAGCTTAAAACCCTCACTAAGGCCTTATTAAAGACTTACCTTTTCGAACCCTATCTGTAACTCACTAGAGTGTGACGGGCACCCGGGAACGGATTCACCGTCGTAATAGACGAATTAAACACAAAGAAACATATTTTAGACTTCGAAATGCGTTAATTGATCATTTATGAGAAATATATAGTAATGATAATGTCTAAATACGTATGTAATATTGATTGTGTTTGTTTTTTAATGCAACTTTCATTACCATATAAACAATTATATTAAAATAATTTAATTCATAATGAATAAATCTTTTATTAATAAATTGTTAAAATAAAATATGGGTATAAATTATAAAGTCAATAACATAATATTATTCAAAATTTAACAAATTAAAGATAAAAAATATATATCAAGAATCTTAAGATTTGGAGAAAGTTTACTTTTTACATCAAATTTTACACCAAAATTATGGACTTCGTGTAAGATTTAGTGTCACTCGTTAGAGACCCTGTACGTGAATTAATAAATTTAGAACTGTTCATCTAAACCATCAAAATGCACAAACCATCAACATTGCATTGCACTGCAATACGTGGTTTAGAACTTTTACATTGCGGTTTGTATTTTCATTAGACCATACTTTGCTACGGTTCGCGGTTTTGAATCATCAAACTGTGGTTCAAACCTTACCCATATATTTTAAATATATGTTATATATACATAATCATTTATCAAATAAAAATAATTAATATATTTTACATTATCTATTAATTTTTTATTTTTTTCCTTTAAGTTATGTTACGAATTCCTTATTTGATTTATTTTATTTTGTCTTTTGTCAAACATTAAGGTCAAATTTATTTTGAAGTTAACATTTCAAATATGATTGGATTGATTACTAAACTATTTTTGCGTTGTTGTCTCATAGAAGCCAAATCGATTTCCTGTTGAGAAATCTCAATTCCCTTAGCATCCTTTTAACCCAAATTCCTTCACAAATCCCATGACACATGGTCATGAATTCATCCTTTGCACTACTCCTTGAAACTACTTGTTGTTTCTTACTTTTCTAAGTTACTAGATTTTCCCAAAGAAAGGTGCAATAACGGGTTGTGGATCTTCCATCGGTTCTTGAACCTCCCATCAGACTCAGTGAAAACTTGAAGGTCTCTCTTGTTTGTCTTCTTGAAGACGAGTCTGTATCCTGGATTTTTCTTGAGATAATGTAGGAGTTGGAACACTGCATATACGTGTTGCTTATTGGGAGCATTCATGAACCTGCTGATTATTCTAACTGTGTATCTAATATCCAGTTTTGTATGAGAGAGGTATATTAACTTCCCATCCAACTATTGGTATCTCCCATTATCTAGTAGCTCTGCATCTTCTTTTGGTTGAGATGACCTGCCGACGGGTTCTATTGAGATATTGTTTGGCTTGAATCTTAGAAGTTTGGTTTTAGAGAGACGATTGAGAGTTTACTTTCTTTGTTTGACAACAATTCCTTTTTTCGATTTGGCAACCTTCATTCCTAGGAAGTATTTTAAGTGTCCCAGATCTTTAACTTCGAACTCTCTTCCAAGAACCGTTTTTAGGCGGTGATCTCCTAGAAAAACTCTTCGGTAATGATAATATCGTCCACATAGACGATCATCATGGAAATTCGACCATCTAAAGAGTGTTTAGTAAATAGTGTGTGGTTAGTTTTCTCTTGAATGAAGCCATGCCTCTTTAGTACCTGAGCAAACCTATCAAACCAAGCTTGTGGGGAGTGTTTCAAACCATAGAACAATTCTAACAGTTTGTATTTCTTCCCTCGTTCTTTCTAGATTTTAGTCTTGGACGTACATTCATGTAAATCTCATTCATTTCTCTATTTAGAAACACAATCTTGATGTCGAACTGGTGTAGAGGCCAGTCTAAGTTAGCAGTTATTGATAGTAACACACATGGAGGATTAAGCATGGCAATTGATGCAAATGTTTCAAAGGAACTGATTATGTATGATTGAGTGAACCCCTTGGCCACCAACCTAGCCTTATATCTACTAATGTTTCCATGAACATTATATTTTACGGAGAACACCCATTTACCGTAAACCGTCTTCTTTCCTATTGGTTGCTCTATATATTTCCATGTGTCATTGGATTTCAGGGATTTGAGTTCCTAGTTCACTGCCTCATTCTATTCCTTCTAAAAAATAGCTTCTTTTATATTCATGGAAATTTGTATCTCATCCAAGGTGGTAGTAAAATCTGTATATGTGGGTGATAATCTCTCATAAGATACACAATTGCCTACTGGATGCATCGTACTACTACGTTTTCCTTTCTTGAGAGATATTGTAATTTCCAGGTTAGTAGAATTTTCAATATTACCTGAAGAGGAAGGAGTACTACCTATATGATCATTTGTTGGTTACGACCTTGGAGAAGTAGTTTAACAGTGCTTCAGTTGAATAATAGGTATATGTGACCTCCTTGTATACATAATGTAATCTTCTAAGGTTGTGTTTACAGTACCACTTGGTTGATTTTTTGTTGTCGAAGGCTGGTCTGCGACATGTGGTGCTTGATTTGTGGTTGTCGAGGACTAAATTAAAGCTGGTGAGGGTTGATGTATAGTTGTCGAAGGAAGGTTTGATGTAGATGTGGGTTGATCTGGTGGTTTGAATGGTTGTGGTGCCAAGTTTGGGCCTGATAAGGTGTCTAAGGAGATGTCTGAGTATGCGAGGAATTGGTATTCTTGCAAACTCTCCCTAAAAGTATCAATTTTGGTATAAAATGGTTGATTTTCGATGAAGGTAACAACCATGGTGTTGTATACTTTGTTTGTTGATGGATAGTAGTGCTAGTACCCTTTTCGGTTAAGTGAGTGCCCAAGGGATATACATTTAAATGAACGTAGGTCAAGTTTGCTACGGGTTAGCTAAGTATAGTAGACACATGATGTATACCAAACACTTTGAGAGGAATACGGGACATGAGTTTGAGGTGAAGATGTAGTTTCCCGTATAATGTTTTTCTAATTGGAGTAACAAAGATTCAATAATAGATAAGAACAACGTAAAAATGGATTAAGCAAGTCGGCATGTCATTGAACTTTAAATTCGAATACGTGAGAGATAATCAAGAGAGAGAAGTATTACATGAAAGTACAAGGGCAAAGTACGTACAAAAGTTTTTCTAACCAACTCAACCAACTCTATTTATACTAGAATAGAAGTACTATATACAACGTTACAAAACAGTCTAATTACAAATGACACGTGTTCTACTATCATATAGTCTTCAAATTTTCAAAGTTCAAAAATTAGATGAACACATAGAAATGATTAAGTACCAAACTAAGGATAAGTGTGTCCAGAGTTACCTTATGAACTCTAACCTCACTACACCAAACTCTAAAGACTTTGTTCTTTTCTCAGTTCTAGACTTAAGCATCTCGCATTGGCAAGTATAAGCTCGTCACATTTTGAATTTAGAAATTAGAAGCTAATTCATGATTCCACTAGAAAATTTTAGAAGTTTTGCCTATTTTGCACTTAAGAGAGTGAATTGCTTAATTAGTTCATAAAATGTCAATTCAAGTAACATATCTCATGTTTATATATATGTTTGGTAAAAGAAAAAAAAAATCTTAGAAACTAGATAAATTATTCATATAGTATTTATTTAAATTGAAATACAAAAAAAAAGCTATTAATTATCACCTACTTTTCAAACTTTTTATAAATATTTCATCATTATTTTCTCTCTTCCCAAAAACCACCCTTTCTCCTCCTCCTCCCCTCCCCTCCCCTCCCCTCCTTGGCCAGCCATAACTTCCTTCATGATCAAACCCAAGTTAAGATCAAGGAAAGAACATTTGGAGATTTTAACTAACATCCCAAATGTGTATTCAAGTTTCTATCACTTTGGTTTCAAAATAAATCATAAAAATCTTTTAGACTCATCAAATATCAATTTTGAACTTCATGCACGTGATAAAATCTCATATCTCAAGTACTAAAATAAGTCTGTGTGTTAGCTTTTAAACACAAGTATTCTCACCTAAAAAAGTTGAGATTTCAACCTCCAAACAGTCGACATAAAACAAGTGTGCAAACAGCTAAACCTTCTGGATAGTTGATCTTATAAGACCTACTTGAGGGACCAACCCATCTTCAAAATATATGTTTCCTATGCCAAAAGTCTCCTAACATGATATATTAACTTGGGTAAAAAAACCCTGACTCAAATGAATTTGGAAGACAAAAATAAAGAACCGCATAAGATAACATAATAATCCCGACAACAAAGTTTAAAAATAAAAATGAGGTGTTCATGCGTAAAGAATTGTTTACCCCTCTATTTCATAAAATTATTGAAATAATAAAAGCTATTTTTTTCTTCCTTAAAATAATAACTCAAATAAAATTCAGTTTTTCATATGGCATATTATAATATTAAGCATCACCGGAACCTTAAGATCTAGGCTCGAATCTCATTAGTAGCTCGATTTTTCGTAGGACCGAAGTAGGACCGGACCTTAGTTGCATTTGGTAGATTTTTGGAATCAGTCTTTGCATATCTCGGTGAGTTTTCACAGCCCCCTTTTACTATTTTCACATTTTTGGGGGAAAAGCATGCTACTATTATTACGCACCAGTTGTTCTATTAGTTTGCCTGAGTTTTCTTTTGCTATTGCTCTTAGGTCCCCGTTTTCCCTTATACTACCTATTAATTCATTTATTTGAACTGTTGGTAATTATGGATAGCGCTATTTGGTTGACACCCCACTCACACTGTGCGTGAGTGCATAATTAGTGTTTCGTTTACTCATGTTGGTGATTAAACATGTAGTCATAGGGCGTGTTGTCATTAGGTTTAGTAGTGGGCTCGTGGTTTTAGCATTTAAGCATACAATTTACCTTGTGCGTTACAAACTTCCAGTCACTTATCCATCATGCGGATTAAACTGTTTTGCGAGTTAAACATCTTATTTATTATTTTAAAACCTGTGAACTCACCAACTATTTCAGTAGTTGACCTTCTTCATCGACATGCTTTTCAGGTGTTCATCAATAAGCTTGGCATATAGGAAGGCATCATGTGGCAGCATACCGGTTTTCTCATTTTGTCAACATGCTATTTCCCTTTTCAAAAAGTTGTATTATGACATTGTAAACCTTTGAACGTTCTTTATTTACTATGGTTGGTGTTGTCTTATACCTTATGTATGAAATCCTTCAGCTGTTAAAAAAAACATATTATAGGAACTTTTTAATATGATTTCATGTCCATATAGCCACCTGCGTGCAATCAAAATTAAATAAACCATGTAATATAGCTAATGAGATCGATTTCTCTGTGTTGACATGTTTTCGAGCAAAAAAAGGGAACTCTTTTGATTCAACTACCATTTATATCATTTTCTTTAATAAGGTTCAACTATGTAGGCAAATACAATTTTTAGTTTTTGTTAACATTTTTTATTTTTGAAAAGACATTTATCTTGAACCAAACAACGAAGTTGTATGTACAATTCCAATTGTCAAAAGATGCGAATTCAATTTTTATGAACTATTTTATACAAAAAATTTCTAGGAAATTATCCGTGGTAAATCTGTATTTTTTCTTAACGACAAACAATATTGGTTAACTAAGTATCTACATCTTCCTTTGATTTGGGTCTTACTACCAGTCCAAATATGAATCTCAATATCATCATCCAAAGTAGGTCATTTGATGCTTTAATCCTTCACACTGTTGTTCATAAATACAGATTTACAAATATAATTGCAAATTTTGTTACAAATATAATTGCAAATTTTCAATGATAGAGATCCATTTTCAAACACAGTGTTTATCTCTCTCTCTCTCTCTCCCTAAAAAGAATGGAATTCAGAGACAAAATCACATATAAAAAAACCTTCTTTTTGCTCATGAAAATGTCAACCCCTTTGAGACTTGAATGCGAAAAAGATTAATGGATCCATATAAATGATGTATATCATGGACTGCCTTTTTGTTGAAATGTTTGATAATTTGAATCAAATATGCCAAAAAGAGTTAAAGCCATTAGGAACCAGTGTCCTTTAAGCCTTTAAAAGTAGTTTAAACTTTTATTCTTCCATTTGTGAAATAAAAGATTTGGAGTAATACTTCTCATAACATATCTTTATGATTCAATGTTGATATCATTAGATGTGTAGTACATGTGGAATAACTTGCAGACTTACATTTGATGAAGGGATTCAAATGCTAAAGGTTTGTAAGAATATAACACTAACAAATGATGTTTACCCAAAAATTATTTGCTTATCGAGTATTGAAATTATTTGTATGCATAAGCAAACTAAAATAGTTCATGTATATTTGAACCATGACCAGATAGAAAAGTTGGTGTTGAAGTTGATACACTTGGTATGCTTAATACACGATCAAACAACAATAGACCTTTCGAGGGGCAGGAGGTTCCATCGGAAATTGTTTGGCCTCACATACTTCATACGAGAGTATTAGCTTAACCTATATTGCAAGATGTATTTAAAATATTTACATTTAATAGAGAAGAAAGCCACAATTTAACAGCATATGAAGTTACAAAGGTTATTAGCGTATGAAAAATTGGTCTTTTTCTTATATTAGACATTTAAAAAATTTATATAGGGACAACATGGTCTTTTTCTTATATTAGACATTTAAAAAAACCAAAAAATTTAAAGAAAAGAGAAATGAAGATTCTAATGTTAGGAGATGTCATGTCAGCACTATTGGGTTTTCCTTTAATATAGATATATAGATTTTAGCTTCTTTTTTTTTGTGAGCTAAGGAACTAGGCATGACAACGAGGCAGTGATGAGGCGGGTTTTGTAATCCTCGGCCCTGGCCCCAGTTTGTAGTATCCCCCGGCCCCGGTCCCCGACAGGTACGGGGGATTAACATCCCGTCCCCGGTCAAACATCTATCAATCCCCGGTCAAACACCATGAAGAATATCCATTAGTTTGATTCTACCGATGATCCCCGACCCCGTTTGAGTAACATACCCCGACCCCGACCCCGGTTTGAGTCTACCGGGGATCACCGACCCTGGGACCCGTTTTAACAGGGATTTTCTATTTTCATTCAGATCATTTGAACTAGGTTTCCCACCGAATCGAAACAAATCACTCAAGGAACAAATGGATAACCTACACTTTCCAAAGAGTAATTTAATATAGACCACTAGGACAAAATCTCATGTAGTTAATCAAAGAAATCTTGAGAAACGACAAATTCCTACCATGACTACGTAACAACCTTCTTTCTTCATCTCCTTCTCAAAACCATGAATTTTACCCTCTCGTAATTTCAAATCAAATCCAAACATTTATTACAAAAGAAATGCGTTTGTTGATTTGATTCTTTTAATTCGATTCCAATTACAATTTCTCTTGATGGAATCGTTTTGTTGCTTTCCATTATAAATTTATTGCATACTTCAACCAACGTCTCTCTCTTCTTTCTCCACCCTAATGGATTCGAATTTCTGGACCGCTCGTCTAGCCGTCGCCAAGCGGCAATTCACGACGCACCACCACCACCACCACCATCAGAGCTCCCATCTCGGTTCGGTTTCTTTTATTTATTTATTTATTTATCAATCAAATCGTTGGAAATTAAAGATGGGAGTTTTGTTCCCAATTAAACGATTAGGGTTTGTTTAATTTATCAAATTATTGTTCAAACTGAGAGTTTCTATGATGAAAATTTGTGTATTATGATCTAGGTTGTTTTTTTACTCTAATTTCTTGTTTATTTCTCAGATCGGTTGAACGTAGATGATTTCGAGGTCGAAGACGAAATCCGACCCGATTTTCCATGCCCGTATTGTTATGAGGATTTTGATATCGGGTCCTTGTGTTCCCATCTCGAAGATGAACATTCTTGTGAATCCAAAGCCACTGTGAGTCTCTCTCTCTCTCTAGTAATTTTGTTGAGAATCAAACATAATTTGATGTTTATTTGGTCACACATTGAAGTAATCCATCCTATCATCTGTCTTCAATTCATATTAAGCTGATACTCTTAGAATTACTCTTATTTTCATAGGATTATAAGCTTATCTCCTTGTACATGGATTCAGATTCTTGATTTGCTTTTTCTCAAAAAACACCTTTTTTGGCTTGACAAAGAATTAGATTAGCATTTTATGCAATCCAGTGCCTCTTTATCCCTTAGGTGTAAAGAAGGAGTTTAGAGGATATATCATGGCTTATTCCAAGTGGGAGGTCAGGTACCCCCATCTCCTTTATATTGCTTAGACAAACTCAAAGGAATCCCCATTCGAACTTAAGAGTTAAGACCCTTTGGAACCAAGTTCCAAGTCGGGTTCTTTTGTCTTAAAAATGTGTTTTAAATTAAGAAAAAAGCTTGAAAAATGCTAGTTTGTAATCGTCACTTTCACAGGAGGTCGTTTAACAAAAATAGCCTGACCCAAGTCTCGTCCACTAGGCCGGTTTGCTCTTTGGGTTACAAACTTTGGTGGTGTTGGATGCTTATAATGTTGTTAACTACAATTTTTGAAAAAAAGTGTTATATTTTCCTTTTGATTTCAAATTCTGCACTTGCCAACTCTAAAGCCAGCAAGATTTTGAACTTTACAACAAAGAATTGCTGATTATATTCAACTTTATAACAATTGCTACAAATAGAACGCGAACTTCTGTGTATAATGTGTATCAAATTGACATTTGGAAAGTAAGAGGTTTGACGTCAAAAAGCTTCTTGTATTTGTGTTTGATTTTGAAAATTTTACTCGAGTCTTTGAATGCATTTTGTGTAGGGCAGGTAGACCGAGACCTTGAAATTAACAGAATTTGACGTCAATGTATGCATACTTTGATATGGACCCAGACCCTACTCCCGATTTATATACAAGGCTTTATTTGATGAAAATGCATTTAGTCGTGATATATTTTCGTACATTCTGAAGCTAAAATTACTTATTTACCCTTTGTCAAATGATTGATTCAGTTGGTTATGTACCTAGGCATCCGCTGCATTGAATTGCGTGAATATTTTTGTTGCAATTTTTCACTAGACCGAGGGAGTACATGTATTTAGTGTTATAGAAACTTCAACTATTCATCAAATGTCTGAAATACCCTTCAACAATGACACCATCAATGATGTGTAAGGATAACGAGTGGGAAAAAAGGTAAATTTAGGAACTTGGGAACGGTGCACTTGATACCCAAGATGGAATTTGTTGTAAATTTTTTGGGAGGGGATTTAAGCTAATAATTCTAGTTACATGAATCTCATAGCATCAACTTGTGTTTGCAGATTTGCCCAGTTTACTCTGTTAAAATGACAAGAGATATGTTGAGCCATATCACTCTGCAGCATGGACACCTATTCAAAATATCCTTTTACTACAAAATCAAGATATTGAGATTACAAAGGGTTATTAGGAGAATAACCCTTCTAATAACAACTTGTTTTTAAATGCATGATCTTCTGACAGATTTAATAATGGCTTTTAATAAATAAGGGGATGGTTGGTTAATGGCATTGAAAATAAAATCCCCTTGTGGCCACGGAGGTTCAAATGCGGTGACTCCGGGCTATCTGCAAAGCAGGTGGTCGCCCTGGGATTATTCAGCTCGCATAGCGGGTTGGATATCCAGGTTAATAAAAAAAAGCTGTTTAGTTTTATATAATATAATGGATCATTCCCCTCACAAGCCCAAATTTTCATTCAGGGTTAAACTGGGGGATTCATTCTCATTTTCATTCCCCAATAATCCCTAAATGTTCCTTTGTAAAACAAAAAATGCCTCAAAATCTGTCAGAAGGTCATGCATTTAAAAAAAACTGACAAATGGTTATTCTCCTAAATAACCCAAGTTACACCCTGCATTGAAAGCACACCTTTCTAATCACCGGTAGTTGACATACTCCCTTCGTCCCTAAAATAAGTGTCCAAATTTCTACTTTAGTTTGTCCCATAATAAGTTTGCACTTTCAAAAGTATGTGTCTACATTCTAATTCTGCCCTTGATAATGAGATGAAGAAATTCATTACTCCCTCGGGGTGAAATTGTGGTTTAATTAATTAAAAAGTGTAATAGTTACATATTTCTAAAACCATGTGTCTTTTTCATTGTCGACATTTATTCTGGTATTGAGGGAGTGATTAGGGGTATCGTCTAATTTCGTATTAAAGATTTCTTTAACTGAAAGAATACTTGCAGCGGCGTCGTAGACTACGTAGAGTAGCCGTTCCGAACAGTCAGGCACTTTCCCTTTTGGGCAGGGATCTTCGAGAGGCTCATCTGCAGGTGCTTCTTGGTGGTGGTGGTGGCGGCAGTGGTGGTTACAGGCCGTCGAATATCACTTCATCAGCAGTAGCAAGTTCTGCGGTTTCTGATCCGTTCCTTTCTTCTTTGGTTCTCAACTTTCCCGGTTCTGAAGCCGAAGAAATCTCCAAGTCGATAGCGTCGAATGTGGAGGAAAGTTCCGTGAAGAGTGCAACCCCACAACACATATGGAAATCAAGGTAGTGTGTTATTATTCATTCTGAAGAAAGCCCATTTGGTTTATTTCTCAATTTCTTCTTGTGAGTCCCATTCAATAAAGATGGGACCCACATGGATACGAGAAACGGCTAGCTTATCATCTAGTTTTTCAAAGATATGATGATATGAATACTAGTGGTGTGCTTTGACAAAATATGCTACTTTGGTGATTTTCTATTGTATCTTTACATAAATGCCCTTACGTTTTTCCATTATGTCATTTTATGTTCTCATCTAGCTTATCATCTAGTTTTTCAAACATATATGACTACTGGTAGTGTGCTTTGACACGATGTTTCCGTGACAGTTTTGATCCTTCGTTAAGCTCTGAAGAACGGGAAAAGAGAATGAGACAGGCAACTGGCCGAGCAGTTTTTCTTCAAGATGTGCTCGTATCAACGCTTTTAACTGCTGACTAAATGTCGAGTAAGTAATTTGCATACGATTATTTCATCAAGCAGATTACAATATTCGTTCAGCAACCTCTGTTGTAGAAGTTTTTCTTCATCTTTTTTGCTCTCTCGACCTGCGTTGTACGAGCAAATCTTTTCATGTTAATGAAATCGCTAATATTTATTTTTTGTCCGTTGGATTGTATATGTGCTAACTGTAAAGTGATCCTCGTTATCGAAATTCCGCTCTTTTCTGGTCTTCGTGATTGATCTTAAGATGTTTATGAATGAGTGAAGAGTGTAACTAGGTCAGGAATCAGTTGAAGGTTGCTTAGAGGCTTTTTACCTAAATGCTTATCCGGTAAGCGTTTATCGATAGGAGTCAACACTACTAATTTATCTTACAGCGTAAAATAATAGTACATCAAAATAGTATCGTATGCAACAACTTTACCGGGTAAGCGTTTACCCAGGTAAGAGTCATCACCCTCACTTACCAGGTAAGACTCTTCATCCTTATCAACACTCTTACCGGGTAAGATTCTCGGCATTTACCATATTCATCCCATAAGGAAAATTACCCAGTAAGCACTTAATGGGTCAGTGTTTAGTAAACGACCCCTTAGTTGATTACATAAGTATATAGATCAAGTATAATTAATGACTAAGAAATAATTAATGAAATATTACAAAGAGTAAATTAAAGCTTTCATCCTTCTTGTTATGTAGAAATAATTACATCTATTACGTTTGTAAACCAATAAAACGAAATAATTGACAAGGAACTAGGATTCTCGCTCAAACCTTGGGCGCATTTGGAAAACCTGATCTCTGTTGTTTCTTCAATTTGGATTGGGTAACACATCTATCCCTCTCTTCTTTGAACGTTCAACGTACGTTCTCTCAACTACATCTTAAAAAGTTCCCCATTTCATTCTTCTCAATAATGGCGGTTCTCATTTCATCTTTCCCGTTTGAGCAACCAGGTTTTAAACGAGTCGTTATTCTTTTATGTCAGTTCCTATGAATCGAAAACACAAGAATTAAATATAGAACATACAATTTACACCGTAGGTTTAGGTAAGCATTCTTCCTCTATTTTCTTCTTTTCATTTTTTTACTTCCTTTCTTTTATTTACAACGACAATGAAAACACTCTCCAGATTTCTCGATTTGTCTACTGATATGTGAAACAAGATTGTCCTTTCGGGTTCTCAGCTTTATAATCGAAATGATTTGTGTGGCATCGTGCATCGGGTACGTGACTTGTACAAATAAAAGAAAATTGTTAAAAGACAAAAATGCCCTTGATTTAACGGAGTAACCATTAGTAGAATTATAACAAGGGATGCAATCCGTAATAAAAGAGAAACCACGATGACTATAGATGTAATTATTCCTTTTGGGGACCCAATCCACAATTCCAACATAACCACAGGGACGAAATATGCAATTTACTCTATTAAAATAAACTAATTAATAAATAAATTCGGTACAATAGTATTCTGGTATATAATGTCTAATACTGTGTATCAACTAAGTGTACTTATTTGGTATGTACCAAATAAATTGGTAAGATTGGTATGGATGTTATTTTTGTTTGGTACAAAATTGACACTCCTATATGACACTTCTTATTTAGCAAACTAGCTGATAAGTTAATTGTTAGTTAACATAAAAGGAAAAGTTTAAAAAAGTCGACGAACTTTCTTGTTTGGAATGATTAAGTAATTGGACAATATATATTTTTCGAATAAATGAGTTATCAGACTTTCTAAAACTTGTTAAATAAATCATTGGGCTTTAGAAAACCTGTTAAATATATTCTTATTACTTAAAAAGGTAACATGTCACTATGATCGTTATCGCAGCTACCAACCCACCCTGCCAACTTCGCCCCTCGCCACCACCCCACTCCCGATCTCCCGCCCCCCATCGCCCCCGCTACAGTAGTGGTATACCTTTTACATGTTTGAATTAAATGAAATGATACCACTGATGCTATATTTGATGAATCCGGATGTACAATTTATATGAAATCACATATACACATGAAGATCATAAATCCAACAATGCAATGGCTGCTCATATGAACATCGAATCCTCCGAAATTATCGTCAACAACGAATACTTCACTTTTACATGAATCCGACCGCCCTCCGTGCACAGTTTCGCTCCGGTCACCACCCAATACCCTGGTGGATCCTCCGGTCCACGCACCATTTCCTTCGTATCAACAAAATGCGACATTTTCGGTGCACTCGATGGTGGCCCGTTTGGATAAATGGCGGAGTTCAAATCCACCTTCACGGGGGAGTTCTGATCAGCAGGGGTGAGCCCTGTGCTAAACGGTGCACTCATCAACATCGACATCATTCCCGATTTCCTAGAGTGCATCGATGGTCCGTCCCACTCGGACCGGCGGATCTTTGAGGACCCCACCATCGAGTACCCTAACCGAAGAAAAAGAACCTTTTTCATGCCCATGCCTTTGACCTCAAGCCATGCCTTGGTCACGATGGAAGCCGAGTCGTCGATGCGGGTCTCGTTGTACTCAACCGGGGCGGTGCACACATGAGAGAAGATGCTCCACTTGACTGGTTCGAGGTATCCCTTTCCAGCAAACTCGTCACTTGGTTCGTCACTGAAATCATCAAAAAGTTCGAGCGTTTTTGGAAGCGTAGATAGATGTTGAAGATGGATGGCAAGCCGATCGCTCTTCCTTCCTTCTAAATACAACCGTATCCCCGTAACCGGCCTCTTCCCAGAATCAACCTGTAAACGTACAACCATCAATGCATATAATACAAACAACGATGGACAGCTGCATGTGAGAATATGTGGAACCTCAATAAATTACTATCTAAAAGACCCCTCGAGTAGAGAAAGGAGGTTCCATCGTATATCGAAGTGAAGTGGTCCAAGCCTCGCCAAATGTGAGACTCCAACCCCCCCACCCCTCCGATGGAGATTTCCCCAGAGTGTTCAAGTCTCGAAAGCTGTAGATCTCGTCTCTGATACCGTGTGAGAACATGTGGAATCCCAGTAGATTACTCTACAAAGGAACCCTTGAGGTTAGGGGGAGGTTCCAACATATATGGAAGAGAAAAGGTCATCTAGCCGATGTGGGACTCAAAACGGTCCGAATCAAGGTTTTACCTTCACTGTGTTGACATAAAGCCGAGGGCCCAAGAACGTAAACTGAAGAGATGGCAATGATCGAGCCTTGTGTCGAGGAGCAAGCGGAAGATCACCATATGCTGGAGCCCATTGCCGTGGCAGTTGGAATTCAAGAAATTGCTCGAGTTCCTCTAATGGCGGTTTATCTGCAAAACACAACCCAAAGCGAAGCTAATCGATTGCAAATGTTACGATCGGGAAAAACTAAATTTAGTGGACTCCTTTTCTTAGCGTCTTGCAAGAAAAATAAAACAACCAGACTCGGTATATCCCACCTGAAGGTAGGGACTGGAGGGTAAGATGTAAGCAAACATTACCTCTGTCCCAAGAGACAGAGATGCTTTTTTCTGACGTAAACAAATGTATGCACTCACATCGAAGGTACAGATTAATTGCGTGAGTAAGAAATCCGCTGCCACGAACACCATTTAAAAGCGAAACGATTGGAACAAACGACATGGAGATGACGTTAGGCGATTGTGATACAGTCGAAAGCCACTCGTTGTGACTTTGATCGTTGTCAATCCCTCCTCGACGAACATGAATGCTTATTAAATCCTGAAGAAAACAATCCAACATTGTCGATTAGCTTCAGATAATTTCTTTAAGTCCTGAAAGTATGAGCGGAAAAAAGAAAACAAAACCACAAACTTACGTCTTTCTTCGAGAGCAACTTGATGGATGGTCTTAGCGAGTTCGTGAAACCCGGAGGGAGGTCCCACGCTACAGACCGTTCATCCTGTGTGATGACAAAATCGAATCGATCATCAAAACTTCATGTTACATCTGCTTTCTTATTCATAAACAATAATGCCAAACGAAAAAGTGGTACTTAGATTACGTACCTTTTGCTTCACCGACTTCTCGGAAGTTTTCTTCACGTCCTCGGATAAATTTTCGTCTGCTAATTGCTTCAATATATTCTGCACTTCTCTTGGCTCTAGATCTGAAGTTTGTAGCTGTTTTAGATAGATTACATCTTTGCCTCCCATCTTAACCCCAACAACGATATGTGTACCATACTTATCAATAAACCTATAAACAAAATGGCTCGTTTTAACCACATACAAGATGTCGGACGAAAAGCAATCTACCCAAGCCATGTATGTATCCAATTCGCACCCAATATTGATAAGAAGATCAGAATTCAGGCATCCGTAGTGTTGGAGTCCCACTTCGGTAGACACGGACTATGAAACCGTTATATATGTAGGAACATGTCCTCCTGATAAAGGCTCGTATAGAGAGAGATTCAAAGAGTCCATGGATCCTAACATGGTATGGTATCAAAGTCAGGGTCTTTCACATCTAAGGACTCGACACACTCTTTCGCCTCCATTCTAGGGGCACTGTCTAGCCTCCGTTTGAGGGAGTTGGAGTCCCACATCAGCTAGACACGGACCATCAAACTAGTATATATGTTGGATTCTCTCCTCTCTCCCTCTTTCTATAAGGACTTTTTCGAGAGATTCAAAGGGTTAGACATATCCTAACGAGGCATCAGAGTCAGGGTCTACCACATCTAAGGACTCGACACACTCTTTTGAATCCGTTCTAGAAGCACCGTCTTGCCTCCGTTTGAAGGAGCTTGTTGGAGTTCCACATCAGCTAGACAAGGACCATCAAACCTATATATATGTAGGAACCTCTCATCTCTCTATAAGGGCTCTGTATTCAAAAGGTTTCGCATATCCTAACAATAGGTACGTGTTTCTCAAGACATAATGAATTTCAGAGGCTCGTTTTAATCCCTCGAGCCACCATCATGTGCGTGATCTCAGTCTCCGTTTATGATGTTTTATAGTACTTTCTTAGAATAGATCAAGTTATTAGCTCCTAAAGTTAAACGTTTGATGACAATGTTCCATAAGAATATATTCATTAACGAAGGTTTATAAGCATAAAAGTGTCGTACTGAGCAAGGGCGGCAGGATCCCATGAAGGCGGCACGTCGATCTTCACCTTCTCAGATAATGCGATCTGCGATCTCTGTAACTCGATGTTGTACAACGTTATAAACCAACCATCAAAAGCTAGACTTTTGGTTGTAGAGGCGTCCTTCTGCCAACACCCCTTGTAACCAAACATCAAGTTGAAGAAACCAGAAGGTATCTTACCCGATAAAGATACATCTTGATTGAATCGCTCCGACATCTGCAAACAATATGTATTTTGGGGTCAAATCCACTTCTAAAAACCCATTAGGGTTATCAATTCACAAAGAAGCTTGATCCAATTTCGAACTCAAATTACACTCACAGCAGCTCAATTCCACTTAAGAAGATGGATGGAAATGGTGATTTAAATGTAGTTCGAACTCGGGAATCAAAAAAACCCTAATAGGTTATCAAATTTTGTCGATAATTCAACGAATTTTCTCCAATTACACTTACAGCAGCTCAATTCAATTTGTTTGTTTGACTCTCAAGAACAACAACAGAAATAGTGGTTTAATTGAGCTAAATTTGGTTACAAAATGGGAGGGAAGATGAGTTTACCTGATTAAATGAAACGACTTCGGAATGAAACCTGGTGCGTTCCCCTTTATCGCACTTGATAGAGGCGGAAACATTGGGAACAACGATGCCACCGGGAACCAGCAGGTCTTTAGTTACGGTTCCGTCGAGATCGATCAAGGTCGAACCAGAGGGACCAGGTTTACAACCAGTTAATCGGATATCGGAGTTGAGGTCGTACCCGTTTCCGATGACGGAAACGGCCTTCTCCGCCGCCGATTGAGGATCGAAGAAATTGGTTTTGTAGAAAGACATCTGTTCCTTGAATCCAGCTTCTGGGTTTTTGAAATTTGATGAATCTAGAGAGAGAAACGAATGACGAATTTTACTGTATGGAGATATTTTTGACGAAATCAAATCATTGTTTACCGAGATTGTTGACTTTGTTTTGGTTTCGGAAAACGAAAATTGATTACTTTTGTCGTGTACCGTTTGTATCCTGCAAATGATTAGGGTTTCAAGATTTCTTGATTCATTAACCTTGGTTTTGTCATGGAGGTGGTGAACAAAATGAAGTTGACCATGAACAGGGGTTTAGACTATGTGCCAAAAAGGAAATCTTTCTTTTTCCTTTATTTTTGAGTAGGGGTATATAAAACATCACCCCTAAACCCGTCAAACCCAATTAAACTTGGCTCGTCGAATCATCAACCTGTCAAATAATCAAAACGTTAATTAGAATAATACTCGTGTAATGTATCAAGACATATTTTTATTTTAATGTTTCGTTTTTTATGTCCATACAATACGATTTTATGTGGTTTTGAGAAATCGATAATGTTTTTATTTTTTAATAAATTATAAATTTGAAAATATCATAAAATTTTGAAAAAAATATATATCGATATCAGTATCAAATTAACCTTTTTAAAAGTTTTTGTTTTGGTGTAATTTCTTAATTCAATTTTTTTAATTATAATTTAATTTAGGTTTAGTAACGAAGTAATTTAATTTAAGTTAATAATATATTTTTTTATAAAGATAATAATTAAGTATTATGTTATAACTAAATTATTATCCTTATTATATTTAGATTTTTTATATTCAAAATAAAATGTTTATTCAATATTTGATTATGTTTATTTGTAGTTAGTTATACGAATTCAAATATGGAACTTTAATAAGTTGTACTTATGCATAATTTACCTGTATCTTAAATTTTAAGTAATATGCATCAATAAACAATACTTCATGCACAAAAATGATTTTTTAATAGTTTTTGTCAAATGCTATTTTCTTCTTGTCCTCATCGCTCCACTGATGTGGAAGCTTTGGAATCTGCCGTTCAGGAATCGCGGCAGTCGTAGCTGTTTCTGGAACAGCCGGAACAATAGCAAATGGAATATATGGTTCATTTTCTATGTAATGTGGAATTTCAGAATCTACACCTTCCAGAAAGAGAGACATCCGGTTCTTCCAAAGACTAAAGTTGTCACGGACAAACCGGGGAGGTTTGGCAAGAGAGCCATTATATTTTGTATGTGTGTTTGCAATTTGTAAAGTCATTTGTAAGCAGTAAGTTATCTAAGAAAAGATAAACTAGTACAGAAAAATAGCCAAACACAAGGAAAGAAAGAAAACACTGCTCTGATACCATTTGTTGGTCCCGTAAGGGTCTACAAGAAGAGAAACAGTTTGTAGAAGGGGGGGGATGAATACAAACACAATATTTTCAAATTTAAAATATTTATTGATAGAGAAGATCAATACAGATTTTACAAGATTGTTTGCGGAAAGATAAGGTAATAAAAACCTATCTAAACAATCTTTGGTTACACACAAAGCTTTAGCAATTACAAGAAAAGAAGTTGCTAAAAGAAAATATCATTTACTTAAGCTAGAAGATGCTTGAAGTAAGAATAAGGTTAGAGAGAGATGCGTGCTCTCTGCATGGAGAAGAAACACTTCTATTTATACCCAGTGCATTAAATGTCCATTTAATGCAATATGGTAGGTTTAGAGTGCGTGTCAAACCTTAAGCGAAAGGCTTGTCCTTTCCTACAGTGAATAGTACAAAAGCACTATTTCTGAGCAGACATCCTTACCTAAAGTTGGTGGACAAAGAGTCGACTAATCGGCTCCGTACCGTACTAACTTTTGTAAGGGTATGAGTTTTGTCCTTTATGTGCATAATGACAGGACAACAACAATCGTGCTAAGCAAGCTTCCTTTGATCGCTGAATGCTGGAATGACCTGTAGGTCTCATCATCATTCGCTGAAGCTAGAGCAGTCTTCACACATATGTAGACATGCTTGTAATCACTGAATACCGCTTCAGATCACGTACTCGCCGGTCTCTAATCTTCAGTTTCAGTCTTCGACGTTTGCTGAAGGTTCTTTGGTGTGAGTGTTGTCTTCTTGAAGTATTGYTGTCTCTGATAGATTTACAATGCAAGTTCTTTAGTGATCACTGAACATACTTAGTGAAAATTACTGGAACTGAAAATACAGAAACACAAATACAACGTGAAAGAGAAAAGAGATTATCATCAAATCATTGTGAGAGAGGATCAACAGTATCCTTGAAAAAGATTCCCAAGGTTTCTACTTCTTCTCAGAAACCACTACCTGAGTCTGAAAAAGGGATTCTTGGTCCAAAAAGCTCTTCCTCCTTTATCTCATCTTCAAAAGCTTCTTCCTCTTTCAAAAGATCTAAGAAGCATGTTAACATAGTTAAGCACATACCATTGATATCGATTAAACCTGTGTTCATTTATCGTAGATGTTGTAACTGTGGTGACATTTTTCATCTGGCTAAGAACTATATGAAGGAAAGAATCACTAAGCCGGTAGAAAAAGTGAAAGAAGAAAAGTCTCCTAACCCTAGTGGACCCATTGTAAAATGGGTATCTAAAAACTAATTTATCTGTGATTTCAAGGCTTAGAACACCGATAGGTAAGGTACTTGGATAATGGATGTTCAAGACACATGACTGGAAATAAGTCTATGCTCATCAACTATGTGTCTAAACCTGGTCCTTCTGTAACCTTTAGAGATAATGACAAAGGTATTACTAAAGAATATGGTTTACTGTCTAATGGCTCAGTTACCTTCAACCGAGTAGCCTATGTGGATGGACTAAAGTATAATCTGCTAAGTATTTGTCAACTATGTGATCTTAGCTTCATTGTAAAATTTGAAGAAAACCATTGTACTATTCTTGATTCTTCTGGAAAAAAGGTACTAACCGGTATTCGAAAGGATAATGTCTATGCGTTCGACATAGGATCACCTAGCTCTAATGATGCCAACATATGTTTCTACTTTGAGGCTACTCCTGATCAAAATTGACTATGGTATAAAAGGTTGTCTCATCTCAACTTCAAGACCATCAACAATCTTTCTAGAAAAGATCTGGTCATCGGACTCCCTAAGATGTCACATGTCAAAGAGAAGTTGTGTACTACTTGTGAAATAGGCAAGCAAACCAAAGAAAGTTTCAAGTCCAAGATGTGTTCTTCTATTTATGGTCATTTGCAAATTCTTCACATGGATATCTATGGTCTTATGAGCGTTCAAAGTTTGGGTGGAAAACGTTATACTCTAGTTATTGTAGATGAGTACTCAATATATAATTGGGTCTTTTTTTTCAACACAAGAGTGATGCAGCCGAAGAAATTATCAACTTTGTGAAACGAAAGGAAGTCTTGAATGGTCAACTTGTCAGATCAATTCGAAATAACGATGACACTGAGTTTAAAACCAGTGTTCTTGAAAGATTCTTTAATGACAAAGGTATTTCTCAAAACTTCTCAGCAGTTCAGACTTCATAGCAAAATGAAGTTGTTGAAAGGAGAAATCGTACACTATGTGAAAACTGTACGTTTAATGCTAAGTGAAGCAAGTCTTCCGACCTACTTTTAGGCTGAAGCTATCAATACTTCTTGCTTTACTCAAAATAGGTCCATAATTGTGAAAAGACACCATAAGACTACTTACGAAGTGTTCCATGGTAGAAAGCCAAATATCAGTTTCTTTATGTGTTCAAAAGTGCATGCTATATTCTTAATGATCGAGATCAGTTAGGAAAGTTTGATCCTAAATCTGATGAAGGAATGTTTTTCGGATACTCACTTTTCTCTAAAGCCTATCGGGTGTACAATATGCGTTTCCAGTACATAGATGAATATGTAAATGTCAGATCTGATGAATCTGGATCGGTGCCTACAACAACATCATTTCAAAATGATGATCTAGAGCTTAACCAGTGGTTGGAATCTCACTCCTATGAGAATTCAACTCCAATTGGTGGATCTCCATAATCTAATGGAGATGATGTTCCACCTATTGAGGAAGATGAGAATGGAGATTTATAGTTCAATATGAATATACCATCGGTCAGTCCTGTACAAGAACCAGCCGATCTGGTACCGCTCTCTTGTGTGGAACCCTTAACTAATGTCGATGCTCCCATTTCTTCTACTAGGGACATCAATAATGCAACCTTAGTAGTCGTCTATTCTAATCATCCCACTAATGATGAAGCTGGCTCTACCTCTCTTCCTCCTGCCACTAAGTGAACTAGAGATCACCCGATAGAGCAAATTATTGGTGATCAACAAACAGGTGTCCAAACACATCGTGGTACTGATAATATTTGTTTGTTTATCAATTTTTTATATCTCATCAGGCCCAAAAGGAATGAAGAAGCACTTGATCATCTTAGCTGGATCAGTGTCATGCAAGAAGAATTGTTGCAGTTTGAGAATAACAAAGTTTGGAGAAAGGTCCCAACAAACCAACAAAACAATTATTAGCACAAAGTGGGTGTTTAGGAACAAAATGGATGAGAACGAAATGATGACTCGAAACAAGGCCCGACTCATTGCTCAAGGATATCGACAAGAGGAAGGTATTAATTATGATGAGACATTTGCTCTGATAGTGAGGTTGGAAGCTATGTGAAGCTTCCTTTCCTATGTTGTATACAAGAACTTCAGAGTTCTCCTAATGGATGTAAAAAGTGCTTTTCTAAATGGCAAACTTACTAAAGAAGTCTATGTGAAGCAACCTCCAGACTTTGAGGATCCTAAACATCCAGGTTATGTTTATAAGTTAGACAAGGCCTTGTGGTAAGATTAACAATACCCTCTTTTTTATGAAACATAAAGATAATATCATTTTTGTACAAATTTATGTGGATAATATAATTTTCGGTGCCACTAAAGAATCTATATGTAGAAAGTTTTCAAAACTCATGCAAAATAATTATGAAATAAGTATGATGGGTGAGCTCACATTTTTCTTAGATTTGCAAGTGCAACAATCCGATAAAGTAATATTTATCAATCAAAGTAATTATGTTAAAGATCTTTTAAAGAAATTTGAATTCTCTGAGTGTTCATCCATGAAAACACTAATGACACCTCCCTTGAAACTAAATGCAGACCCCGATGGCAAATCTGTGAATGT